CAGGGCATGGTTGCAGAAAGGGTGCCCTCAGTTGACCCGTGACCTGCATGGTCTTGACTATGACCTTGAACTTGACTAAGCACGTCCTGCCGGGACCAGCTGTTGACTTCTGGGCAGCCCGCTGCAGATTTTTACAATATTGAAAAAGTTAAAAAGAAAATGAACGTAACAATTACTAGAGGTGTACTACTGCTGGTATTTAAAGGGAGGACTTGACCGGTTCATGAATGATGCTGTACAATACGCGTAAGAGAACCTTCTAGCGGATATCATGCCGAAAGGAACTGCTCAAAAATTCGATTCTTTGTTCTTTTCGTTTACCAATAAACTGGCTGATTAACGTGTGGTCTAATTTCTTGTTGCCAGGTTCTACCAGCAATACCGAAAGCATGAGTAATCAAGAATGGAAGAAGAATAAAAATAACGGGGAAAATGAGAAAAACGGGAAAGACGATTATGATCAGGGTGTCGATGAAAAGTAAATGCAGCAGCAAAAGAAAAGAAAAGATATGAAACAGCAGAATTAGTTAGTAGAGACAAGAAGAGGGGAGAAATAAAGAGAGGATGAGAAAGAAGAGGATGATGAGAGGGCCAGCTGCAGAAACATCGAGGATGAGAAGGGAGAGGGGGAGAAATAAAGAGATGATGGAAAAGAAGAGGTTGATGAGAGGAACGGAAGAGGAAACGAGGATGAGAAGGAAGATGGGGAGAAATAAAGAGAGGATGGGAAAGAAGAGGATGATGAGAGGGCCAGCTGCAGAAACATCGAGGATGAGAAGGGAGAGGGGGAGAAATAAAGAGATGATGGAAAAGAAGAGGATGATGAGAGGAACGGAAGAGGAAACGAGGATGAGAAGGAAGATGGGGAGAAATAAAGAGAGGATGGGAAAGAAGAGGATGATGAGAGGGCCAGCTGCAGAAACATCGAGGATGAGAAGGGAGAGGGGGAGAAATAAAGAGAGGACGGAAAAGAAGAGGATGATGAGAGGAACGGAAGAGGAAACGAGGATGAGAAGGAAGATGGGAGAAATAAAGACAGGATGGGAAAGAAGAGGATAATGAGATAGCCGGCAGCAGAAACAACGAGGATGAAAAGGAAGAATGCGGGAAGGGGAGAGGGGTCAGCAAAAGACAAATAAGCACCTGTAGTAGCAGTGGTGGTTGTGGTTAGTAATAGTAGAAAAAGACGGAAAGAAGAGGGGATGGAGAACAAGCAAGAAAGATGAAGAATAACAATAGTTTAAAAAAAAAACAACAACAAGAATCACAAAACCATATTCCAAAAAATCAACAGCGATGACAAAAAAAGCTTACTTACACGTATAACTGAAAACGTCTGACTGCACCTCCTAGACCTCTGCGCCACTCAAGACACAACTAGAGTCCGGAAAGTTTCGAACTTAAAAGTGACCCGTGAAATCACCCAAAACCGGAGTTTGTAGCCTCACTTCTAAAGATGTGATCTATCAAAGTTCAAATCAAATGACTTCAACTGGGGGAACGGCGACGGACTAATGATCTGCCGGAAGATGGAGAAGTTCCACGGTGCACAAGAAATTCGTTCTTGTTGGGTGTTAAAACGTGCGTGCGTGCGTGCGTGCAGCGAGCGGCGCCTAACAATTGATTAGCGTACCGGATAGAACGTTGAATTAAGAATCGACATCACAGCACTCCCATAAGTGCCCAGTCTCCATCTTAAGCAGCAAGCGAAGAGTTCCAATTCCGATGGTACAAGTAACTGTCTCAGCCTTCCCCTGGTGTTGAGCGTCGGCCGGATCCCCCGATAATTCCTGGTACCAGAGCTTTCGATTTTTATGTTGTATAGTGTGTCCCTCTGTCTTTCTACTTATATGAGTGCCGATCAATACACTGTCTCTTTGTTAATTATATATACAAGGGTATGTGTACCTGCACTATTTTATTCAGTATGTTACAATACCTTGGACGGCCAGAATAACTAACAACGATTGTTTGAGAGAAGCTAATGAAAGTAGATCTCTATTTACAACAATAAGAAAGAGACAAACACTGTTCTTTGGCTACGTAATGAGAAGAGAGGCAGTGGAAAACATCGTGACAACGGGAAAGATCAGTGAAAAAAGGGGTAGAGGCAGACCAAGAGAGATGATGCTGGATGGGCTGAAACGATGGCATGGAGGGATATCATCAACAGAGCTGTTCCAGGCAACCTGGGATCGACGCATGCGCCAATGCCATTTGGCAGGGCACTTGATGATGATGTTTTTTTTTCATTACTGCTGTAATATGCACTTTTGAGATGAGCACCGGCACCTGGTTTTCTAAAGGTAGAAAACCCCGCTAACACCTACAATAAATAGCATGAACTATTAAAAAAAAAAAAGAATTTGTTGGCAGAGCAGTATTTCTGAGTAAAGTAAGTCTTCTTCTTCTTCACAAAATTCAACAGCTGTATACTCCGGCAGAAAGTTCTGGTTGTTCGTCCACTTCTGGACTGCAGTGCTGTCCAAGAACTTGAGTGTTGCATGAAGGAATGCCTCGAGTGCCGTGATGTCAATTCTTGACCCAATTCAACTCAACATAGACCAATTGTCTAAAACCTTTTTCAGTTGGTGCCTCCTCGAGTTTATGACAAGGACCCCCTTCCCCAAACATAACAAAATGTGAGTTAAGAAGTAACATCTCAAGTACTGGTAACAAATGTATTCATACTTCAAGATCTGAATATTGAAGAAGGTTGGCTATTAAAGACGATAAAACACAGAAAACTGAAATATTTTGGTCACTTGAAACGTCACACAAGTTTAGAAAGAACAATAATGAAGGCGTATAAGCATGGGAAAAGAGGAAGAGGAAGGCCAAAGAGAAGATGGATGCAGGATGTGGCGGATGATCTCCAGATGGGTGTATCGGACACGAGACATCTTGCTTGTGATCGAGAAGTTTTCTGGAAGGTTGTTAGGGGAGCACAGTTCTGCAAAGGACAGGCTAGTGATTGACTGACTGGTAACAAGAACTTGGAGAAAAACATCCACATAAATCAAAGTGTCAAACAACAAGTGGTAATTTAGTGTCCAGATATCAGTGTAATGGCTGGCGCCGGTTTGTCTCGATATCTGCTATTTTTGATCTGCTGTTGGACAACGCACAATGGAGATCACTTTCCCCATCAAGCTTTTGTCTCGAAACCTGATATTTTTGATCTGGTGTCGGACAATGCCATTTTGCTTTAACTTAAAATCCGGATTATTACAACACACTCAATTTCAAAACTGAAGCTTCCTCAACCCTCCTACCCCCTCCCGGAGACTACTGGTATACACCAATCAGCCCTCTGGTGACTGGTGGTCAACATCCTACTGACCACCTTTACTTCCAAGGACATTGCCTGGTACTTTGCTTTAGGGTGGGTGAGCAAAATCTGTAGCTGTTGTTGAATGAGAACCTTGCTAGCTTGAATACTGTCACAAAAACACAAACCTTTTTATTGTACACATGATTCTTCTTCTTAATGTTCACTGGTTGTAAACTCAAGTTGAAAGTGCTGGTTGTTCATCCACTTTTGGACTCTGGTCTTATTCCAGAACTTAAGTTTTGCATGCAGATCCATTTTACACATCTGACTTGTTTCTGTGCAGACTGTTGGTTCCTCACCTTTCAGGCAGTTACGCTCTGATTTCAAAACAAACAGCCCTGATTAAACTTTTACAACATTTTCAGGGGGCAGAGAAGCTATCTCACACCCCCCCCCCCCCCAACAATGGCGCCCCATTAGTCACACGGGGAGTACAAATGATTCAAATGTCCAGCACACATGAGACATGTTATCTATATTATTACAATATTTATTTTCAATATTTCACAAGATCCACTCTCAAAAAAAAAAGAACAAAGCAAGCAATCTACAAACCCCAGCTATCAAACAGAACAAAGCAAGCAATCTACAAACCCCAGCTATCAAACAGAACAAAGCAAGCAATCTACAAACCCCAGCTATCAAACAGAACAAAGCACACCGCTGATATCAAAATTATCATTTTATACAGACATTCAAGAAGCAGAATAAGACACCTGTTCTCCAGTTTCGCTTGCCCTACATCAGATACAATTTGGCTATTGCAGTGTTAGCTTTAAAAAAAAATGTGTTTATACAAATATAAGACATGTATGAATATATTTCAACGCACAATTGTTACACAATCCATACGTAACATTTCTCTGGTTTTACTTTCAGTGCTAATGTAAAAACAGTTTTTGTGTCTGCTAAAATATATCTGCTGTCTTCAGTACCATCAGCAGATTTTATTCAAGCAAATCACTTTTGTTTCTGATAGAAAAGAATTCCCACCAACAGATTTTGTGAAGTTTCCTGCAGATTGTCAGTTTCTGCCTCTATGAGGCATATCTTCCATCAAACCACATTTATTTTGACAACTAAATTGGCAGCTATATGCCATTTTACAACAAGTTTTTTGCCCTCTTCTCCTTCTTCTTCTTCTTCGCGTTCACCCGCTGCAAACTCCGGTAGAAGTTCGTGTTTTTCATCCACTTCTGGACTCTAGTCCTGTTCCAGAAACTGAGTGTTATGTGCACATCCTTTTCACAGATTTGACTTCTCTGCATGCAGACTGTTGGTTCCTTGTCTATCAAGCAGATGTACTCCGACTTCGAAGGAAGCTCCCAGTTAGTCGACTCTTAGAGCATGCTTTTGGGAAGACAGTGGGTCTATTTTTGTTCGCTCTGCAACATATGAGTGACTTTTTGTCATTCTTCTTCTTATTATTATCGACATGTTGGGGGTAGATGTAAGGATATTATATGTTTTCAAGTCTAATGCATTCTATAAGCTGATCTTCATTTCTTGAATACTTTTCTTGATGGCATCATTCCATATTTCGTGTGATCTTCTCTTCGCTTTCTGTCCACTTTATTTCTTCAGTGTATCTCTCTGTGGAAGCTGGTACTAGGGTATGCTCGTCAAATGGCCAAACCATTTCATCTTCTTCTTTGCGTTCACTGGCTGTAAACTCCGGTGGAAAATCTTGTTTGTTCATTCACTTCTGGACTTTGGTCTTGTTCCAGAACCAGTTTTGCATGCATTTGCCTTTCATAGATCTAGCTTTTTATATATATATATGTGCAGACTGTTGGTTCTTTGTCTCCCAGACAGACACATGCTGTCTTCAAATGGCACATCTCTAATTAAGTCGCTTCATTTGATTTGCTTCTTAGAGTGTCAGATTTTGTCTTTCTTGTTTTGTTGTTGTCCCAATATGGGGCTCTGGAACCCAAACAAGGATTGAAACATTGTAAAACAAAACAGAAAGTCAATCACTTGTTTCTCTGTCTTCAGATGTACTGAGTATACTGTGAGTTCCGGGACTCTTTTCACTGAATCTTGCATTTACATTTTTATAGACTAATCAGAACTTGATGGACGATGTCGTCAATATCACGCCGGCGCCTTTACATCCAGTTACATTACCTGACACCCATTTTAGACTGGGTCAGCCTGGGAGCAGAAGTCAATTTTGTTTAAATATCTGACTCAGTGCTGATTCAACCCTAGACCTTCAGGCCAAAAGTGGAGCATCTAATGAGTATACCATGCTGGTGCCATATTTTTATAGAGCAATCAACACTTAAGTGATGTGGTCAGTATCCTAGAGACCGCCTTTACTTCCACCAACAGACACACAGAGAAACGATCATTTAACAATGGTCGACGCTTGGTGCAGGAGAGCCTAGCATATGATACCACAACATTCAGCTTAAGAATGGAGGTGGAGGTGGTCACTGCAGCTTTCCGCTGGTTAAAGAACATGACACACACACACATGGTGATTGTAACTGACCCAGAAAGCATCCTGAGGAAGATCAGGACAGGCATGCTTCATGCAGAGTGGCATGCTTCACTGCGGTGGACACGGGTGAGAAGTATTTTCTGGATTTTTTCACCGAAGTATGCCGGTGTGGTGGGAAATGAACAGGCGGACAGACTGGCTGGCTCTGCACAACTTGGTGGAATACTGATACATGATAAGGCAAACGTGGTTAGTGCCTTGTGGGAGAGTGTGTACAGTTCGAATGAGCAGATGGATCACCACAGTATGGTGAGATTGATGCAGCGGGGAGTGACGCGAGGTTCTGGCAGATGATCGAGGCTCAGAGGAAAGGCAAGACAGACATTTAATCAGAATGCTACTAGTACCATAAGTATCGGAACTCTTCGCTGGCTGCTGAAGATGGGGACAGAGCGCTCATGGAAATGCCCTGAGTGCTGTGATGTCGGTTCTTGAATCAACTCAACTCATTTAACAGTGAAGTCAACAAAATGGGAAAGACATAGGGTGAGCTAAACGTAAGAGCAGAAGATAGAGAGTGATTTGACATTGAGTTTGGTTGAGAAGAAGAAGAAAAGAAGAGGAAGAAGACCTGTACTTCCCAGCACACTTCCTGGTATCTATGTTTAGACCAGATCGACTAACGTGAGGAGCCACAATGATACAGTGCCTGCCAGCCCAAAAATCCTGGGGACAAATCAGCAATTTGCCAATTTTTTTTTTTTTTTTTTTCAAAAAATTACTTTGGCATCTAGATTGACTCAGTCCAAAATGGGTATGTGGTAAATTCCTGGGAAATAAAGGTGGGTGGCATGATGCTAAATACATCATCCACAGATGGCTGATTGGTCTACAGAAACTGAGAGAAGGGAAGGGGCGTTCAAGACAAGATGGTCACACCATTTGCCTCGCGCTTTGAATGTCGTGTGTAGCCATTCTACAGTGAGAGAAAGAGGCATGTGGGATAACATGCAGCCATGAAGCTGATCCATTCTGGCTTTAACTAGAACCTACCATACAGCAACTGTACTTCTTACAAACAGCTCACTTGGTTGCCCTCAAATCTCAACCATTCTGTTCTTAAATCACAACTGCTCTGTCTAGAAATTGCGGATCCAAGTCTTTAAATGGCAGAAGATCACAGACACATGTAGAATGGGCACTTTGCATGTCCGTACTCAGCATAAGACACAGAAGATCACAGACACATGTAGAATGGGCACTTTGCATGTCCGTACTCTGCATAAGACACAGAAGATCACAGACACATGTAGAATGTATGTATTAGAATAAACATCCATAAATAAAATAGACATAAAAAGTTCAGTGGACACATTATCAGTTGAATGATCTTTTCACTTGTGTCTCATAAGTTTCCATGGGGGCCATGTTTGCGCAGTCAATAGGAGACTCACTTTGAAATCCAGCTGTGACTCGCCGCAGCCCACGGCCGGTGTTCGAAACCGAGCAGTTCCTGGGGTTCACCCAGCCTCTAGGTAATGGGTACCAGAGTTGACACTCTGGGGTAAATGGAGGAATGTTGCTGTAGCTAAGAAGTTTTAGTGAATACGGTGACACAGGCGGAGAGTTTCTTATCAGCTGTCCGTACCCGCGGCAGAGAACTTATGGTTTATAACCGTGTACTATGACGCTGTTCACATCTCCCCACTTTACCTTTACCAAGTTTCCACACACAGCCAAAATCAACCCATCTTCTTTCTGTCAGACCCAGAGCCCCCAACAAAGACGAAGCATATTTGCCTGACAGGCCAGGAACCCATAGTCCGAATGTAAATAAGCCAGATTTGTTAAAGAGACGAGCACAGAAAATTTAAATTCTGGAACAACACTTAAGTCCAGAAGTGGACAAACAACCAGAATATTCCACCGGAGTGTACAGCAAGCTGATGAAGGCTAAGAAAAAGAAGAATATGAAAAAATTATTTTCACCTTCTCAGATGTGAATGTCTCCATGGGAAAGATGCACTGCCAGAATGAATGTGTGCAATCTCACCAGAAAACATCAATCCAATGGGTTTCCACCCAGCCAGGAGGATTGACATCACAGCACCGTGTTTTATCACACATGGTACCAGCCTGTCTGCGCCAGTCTTCTGGCCACCAGCCCAGAGCATCACTCAAAGCACAAATCTTTAGTGACGAACCCCAGTGACTAATGGACAGAGTTGAAAACCCACTCCCAGAATGTGACACAAACAGCTGAACCATTTAGAACCGTAGGGAACCTCCAGCCCCCCCCCCCCCCCCCCCCCACGACACAAACATTTGGTACCCCCAACAAAGGTCTGCAAGTAAGTTCCAATCCTGTAATCACATTGACATTATCTATACTGATAATAGGAAAAAGGATAAATATGTTTAAATAAAAATGTTCATTAATGTCAACCTGGACTTGTGACAGAAGCAGCTGGGGACTGCACCTCCTCTTTAGCCAATACTATCAATGCCAGTCGACCTGCAAGTGGTAGAAGCAGCAGCTGGGAGAACTGGGGGGGGGGAGAGGGGGAGAGAGATGCTTCCATACATCCAGCTTCATTAGCTGTTGTGGAAGTTCTTTCCATACATCCATTCTCACTGGCTGAGACACAAATGATGGGACAGAAGCAACATCAAGTGTCGTGGAAGTTCTTTCTATCCATCCAGTCTCACTGACTAAAACAAATGATCTTTTAGAAGCAGTATCAGTGGTGGAAGATCCTTCCACATCCAGCTTTAACAAAGCCCACTTTTATCATGCAAAAGTAAATGCAAGTAATGGGAAGACAACAAATCCAGCCAAACTCAGTACCAGTCTTTAGGAGCACAATCATGTGACTGAGTCCGCACAATCCCAGGAGTGTTTACTGCATCAGCTGCTGTACATATTAATGGTTGTGGCCTCAGGTTAAGTGACAGACCTGGCAGAAGAGGCGTCTTGCTGATCAGGCACTGAAGTACACAAGTGCGGGCACTGAAGTACACAGGTGCGGGCACTGAAGTACGCAGGTACGGGCACTGATGTACACAGGTACGGGCACTGAAGTACACAAGTGCGGGCACTGAAGTACACAGGTGCGGGCACTGAAGTACACAGGTACGGGCACTGAAGTACACAGGTGTGGGCACTGAAGTACACCGGTGCGAGCACTGAAGTACACCGGTGCGAGCACTGAAGTACACAGGTTCCTGCAATAAGAACAGGGGTGTATAGGCACCATTCCTTTCAAAGTTTGTTCATTCTTTTTTTTTTTCTGGCCAAGAGTTCTCATTTCACATGCTTTGTGCCAGACAGGTGTAGTGATGATTCATTTTCGCAGCTGAACATTGGCATCTGAAATAAAAACTTGACAGACGCCAGATATGATTTCACCTTGGCGGTGCTTTACTGCAATTATTTAGGTGACTCAATGCTACAACGCTGTTGCAACAGATACCTCTCCAGGGCCTGCTGTGAAGCCTGCTGCAGCTTGTGCATGCTGGACTGCGGTGTCAACAAATTATGCTCTGAAAAGTGGAACCCTGCCACAGATGTGATGGACTGGGCATGTTGGTGGGAATCAGTCATAACCTTACTGTCGGGTGGAGATAACATCAGCCGTGGGGCTTGCTCCACTAAAGGTGGAGTGGCAACAATTTGTTCGGCTGAATGTTGAACTGATGGAGTGATGATCATGTGCTCCACTGGAGGTGAAACAAGTGGAGCCGACTGGTGATGCGACCTAATTTTCTCCATTTTGCCAACGGGGAACATTTCAGGCAGGTGCCAGGACGGCCCAGAGCCAACAGCCTCTGTGGGGTCTGAAACAGCATGGTCGTGGCTATATTCTTCTACGACCTGCTTTCTATCACCATAATCAGCGTCCTTGCCAGAAAACTCACCCTGATACTTGCCATTGACCACCATGTCCAGGTCACTTCTGCTGAAGCTTGAATATCTCTCTCCTGGGAATGCTCCAGTGTCGAGGGTCAAAGGTAAAGCAGACATATTATCAGGAACTTGGTTTGACTTTTCCTTTCGCTTACGGCCACCTTCCTGCTTCCCCGAAGAGGACTCTGTGTCAGAAGGATCCGTTTTAGAACGCTTATAACTGGAACCTCCCTGGGTGTTCATCATACTCTTGATGAGACTGATCTGAACATCCTCCGGGTAATCCTTGTGTCTGCTGGCCAGGTGGGCCTTCAGGGAGTTTGAATGTCTGAACTGTTGCTTACATATAGGGCAAGCATACGGGAAGGTGTTGTCATGGATTCGCATGTGTCGGTGCAAGTTACGGTGGTCCCCGAAGGAGCTCGAACATATGGAACATTTGTAAGGCTTGATGCCAAAATGAATCACCTGGCGATGCTTCCTCATACTCTGGATATGATTAAAACTCTGGCCACACAAGTCGCAGAGGAACTCCTCCAGTCGGTAGCAGGCCCTCTGGTGGTGTTTGAGCGCCGACTGCCGGATAAAAGACATGCTGCACTTATCGCAGATAAACTCCCGCTCCTCGCGGTGAACCACCAAATGCTGTAAAACCTCGTGGTGCTTCCTGGCCGTAAACATGCAGCCTTCCCGGGAGCAGGCAAATGGCTTCCTGTCGTTGTGCGACTCGGTGCAATGTTTTCTCAGCTCTATCTGTGTCTTAGCTTTGTAGTTGCAGTGTCGGCAGATCAGGTGCTCGGTGCCGATGTGAGCCGAGTAGAAGTGCTTGGTGAGTGCGAACTTGCTGAAGAATGTCTGGTTGCACTGGTCGCACTGAAGTGTTGGGTGGTTCTGGATGTGGCTCTGATAGCGGTCCAAGTTGTCGAATTTGACGTGGCAGTGTGTGCACTTGATGTAGGTCATGTCGCCGACAATCAGATCCAGTTCATCTTTGACGGGATCATTGATGTTCAGCTGCAGGAAAATGAAAATGTGAACTTTAAACAGAAGAAAAAAAACCTCATAATACGGGACAAATAAATAAATGACCACCCGTGCTGTCTTCGGGGCTCCAAGGGGAGAGGGGTTTTAGACCCACTGCTCCCCTCACAAGCATGTAGTGAAAGGCAACTAGTGATGACTGTTTCTTCACATTCGGAGTGCATCTTGTTGCAGGACTCAAATTTTGCATCCATCATACAGACCTAACTGTTTGATTACGAGGCCTTTCAGACACTCTCTGATGGGAAAAACCTCTCATTAGTGCCATATGTCAATTGGCGGAGGGAGGGTGCTCTGCAAGCCACACAGGGAAGGCTCCTAATGCTTCTTCTTCTTTAATCATCCAAGTGATGTAATTTGTGTTGTGCCTGTTTATAGCACAGCTGTGATATTTACACTTTTCAGCCAATACATCCAACTTCATTGGGCATTTGTTTACCGGGGTTAGACTTTCCCATTGGCTTCATTTTTTTGGGGGTGCCGAGTTTGCTCTTTAGTGCACTTCATGCGAGGGCGCAGACGCCGTCTGGATGACAGTTCAATTCCCGGCACGGTAACTATAGCTTTCGATTTTTATGTTGTCTAGTGTGTTCCTTTTTGCTTCTTTTCTATTGAGTGCCGTTCACATACTTTCTGTTACTTGATTAATTCATAATATTTAACGGCTTCAAATGGTTCCCTCTCTGTTAGATTTATAGGAATGACGTATACACACCGGAACCTACCAATCAAATACCTTTCTTAAATGTTTGTTGTATTCTAGACAGGGCAATAAGGTCTACTGTGTACGTAAATTGTTTCTGTGATTGTTATTTGACATTTGCCTCGTTAATATAAATTTCTGTAACCTATGGTGCCATTTCAATGGGTGAAATGAATTCTGTCCGTAATTCCATAGTCGTGGATTTCAAGCTGTACGATAGACATGGCCAAGAGACACCTTTTTTTGGGGGTGCCGAGTTGACCATGTATCTTAGTGCACTTGTATTCAGGGCGAGGCGCAGACGCCGTCTGGAGGTGACAGGTTCAATTCCGGCACGGTAAACTATAGCTTTCGATTTTTATGTTGTCTAGTGTGTTCTTCTATCTTTCTGCTTCTTTCTATGAGTGCCGTTCACAATACTTTCTGTTACTTGATTAATTCATAATATTTTAACGGCTTCAAATGGACTGTTTATTTATAGGAATGACGTATACACACCGGAACCTACCAATCAAATACCTTTCTTAAATGTTTGTGTATTCTAGACAGGGCAATAAGGTCTACTGTGTACGTAAATTGTTTGCTGTGATTGTTATTTGACATTTGCCTCGTTAATATAAATTTCTGTAACCTATGGTGCCATTTCAATGGGTTGAAATGAATTCTGTCCGTATTCCATAGTCGTGGATTTCAAGCTGTACGATAGACATGGCCAATGAGACACCCTTTTTTTGGGGGTGCCGAGTTGACCATGTATCTTAGTGCACTTGTATTCATGGCGAGGCGCAGACGCCGTCTGGAGGTGACAGGTTCAATTCCCGGCACGGTAACTATGCTTTCGATTTTTATGTTGTCTAGTGTGTTCTTCTATCTTTCTGCTTCTTTCTATGAGTGCCGTTCACAATACTTTCTGTTACTTGATTAATTCATAATATTTAACGGCTTCAAATGGTTCCCCTCTCTGTTTATTTATAGGAATGACGTATACACACCGGAACCTACCAATCAAATACCTTTCTTAAATGTTTGTGTATTCTAGACAGGGCAATAAGGTCTACTGTGTACGTAAATTGTTGCTGTGATTGTTATTTGACATTTGCCTCGTTAATATAAATTTCTGTAACCTATGGTGCCATTTCAATGGGTTGAAATGAATTCTGTCCGTATTCCATAGTCGTGGATTTCAAGCTGTACGATAGACATGGCCAATGAGACACCTTTTTTTGGGGGTGCCGAGTTGACCATGTATCTTAGTGCATTGTATTCATGGCGAGGCGCAGACGCCGTCTGGAGGTGACAGGTTCAATTCCCGGCACGGTAACTATAGCTTTCGATTTTTATGTTGTCTAGTGTGTTCTTCTATCTTTCTGCTTCTTTCTATGAGTGCCGTTCACAATACTTTCTGTTACTTGATTAATTCATAATATTTAACGGCTTCAAATGGTTCCCCTCTCTGTTTATTTATAGGAATGACGTATACACACCGGAACCTACCAATCAAATACCTTTCTTAAATGTTTGTGTATTCTAGACAGGGCAATAAGGTCTACTGTGTACGTAAATTGTTGCTGTGATTGTTATTTGACATTTGCCTCGTTAATATAAATTTCTGTAACCTATGGTGCCATTTCAATGGGTTGAAATGAATTCTGTCCGTATTCCATAGTCGTGGATTTCAAGCTGTACGATAGACATGGCCAATGAGACACCTTTTTTTGGGGGTGCCGAGTTGACCATGTATCTTAGTGCACTTGTATTCATGGCGAGGCGCAGACGCCGTCTGGAGGTGACAGGTTCAATTCCCGGCACGGTAACTATAGCTTTCGATTTTTATGTTGTCTAGTGTGTTCTTCTATCTTTCTGCTTCTTTCTATGAGTGCCGTTCACAATACTTTCTGTTACTTGATTAATTCATAATATTTAACGGCTTCAAATGGTTCCCCTCTCTGTTTATTTATAGGAATGACGTATACACACCGGAACCTACCAATCAAATACCTTTCTTAAATGTTTGTGTATTCTAGACAGGGCAATAAGTCTACTGTGTACGTAAATTGTTGCTGTGATTGTTATTTGACATTTGCCTCGTTAATATAAATTTCTGTAACTATGGTGCCATTTCAATGGGTTGAAATGAATTCTGTCCGTATTCCATAGTCGTGGATTTCAAGCTGTACGATAGACATGGCCAATGAGACACCCTTTTTTTGGGGGTGCCGAGTTGACCATGTATCTTAGTGCACTTGTATTCATGGCGAGGCGCAGACGCCGTCTGGAGGTGACAGGTTCAATTCCCGGCACGGTAACTATAGCTTTCGATTTTTATGTTGTCTAGTGTGTTCTTCTATCTTTCTGCTTCTTTCTATGAGTGCCGTTCACAATACTTTCTGTTACTTGATTAATTCATTGGCTTCATGGGTCATGAAGTAGCCTTATTTATGTGGCTTCCTTCTGATCTCTAATTATGGGTGATGCCCCTGGAGAACCTATCCAGGGCAGCCATGCACAGACTGGTTGGCCCTCAAGGGAAGGCAGTGGGCAGAACATGGGCCTTCCACACCATCCAAGCATAGACTGGTTGGCCCTCAAGGGAAGGCATGGGGCAGAACATGGGCCTTTCCTACCATCCAAGGCAGCCATGCATAGACTGGTTGGCCCTCAAGGGAAGGCATGGTGCAGAGCATGGGCCTTTCTTACCATCCAAGGAGGCTTCCATAAATGCCAGGCGGCCACATGACACTCTGCGCTTGACAGGTTGACCTCACACCCGTATGTTGAACTTGCCACTCATCACATGATGCACCCTTTAGAGATCAACCTGCAGATGTGGGACTTGGATGATGGCACAGATGGGCACAATCTTCCTCAGCACGTTAGACATTTTAACATTGTTGCATCAGGACAATTAGCATGACAGTATAAGAAAAGAATGTATCAGGCAAAGTTTTCTCTTATAGCCCCAACACTCTGGGGCCAGTGATAGCGGACATTTGGAACTTTCTGTCAAATAAAAGGACACTGGATAATCAGACTACCTTAACTTTGCTGTTATGTTGTAGGGCATTTGAGCACAAGCAGCAATTCAGTAGGATGTTCAGTCGACAGAGGTCGGAACCAAGGTTTGTCACACAGTAGAATGGTCAGTCGACAGGGGTCTGAACCAAGGTTTGTCACACAGCAGGATGTTCAGTCGACAGAGGTCGGAACCAAGGTTTGTCACACAGTAAGATAGTCAGCTAGTGAGTTTCACTCAAGTCTTAAATGAGTGTTTGAACAATCTTACTCGTGCACTGGGGGTGGGCTGTAAGCACCAGAGGATTTCTGGACACTGATGCTCTGGTGGCCACTAACACCGAGATCCTGTGGCACCTCGGTTCAGGCCATGCAGGCGGTGGCACATGATGAGGACACTTGGCAGAAGTCTGGCATGGGGATCCATAAAAACCAGCTAAGAACCTGCTGGCACCTTAAGTCAGGTACAGAGAATCTTCTGATACACAAAACAACAGCCTTAATTTTCACCCATGTCTGTGACCCAAATCACTGCACCACCTACCAGTGTTTGATCCCTGTCTCTTGATCTGTCTGACATGGAAGACCATACTAGTGGCTACCGTTAGCGTAGCTCTTGGGCCCTTCAAAACATGCAAGCCTCTCGACAACTTCAAGACCGAGATCAAATTAAAAAGCAGATGTATGAATCAGTTGAGGACATGCAAGGCATCACAGTCTTCATAGAAGTCTATGACGTCAATTCTTGCCTGAAAACAATAAGCGGGGCCAATGAAATGAAGCAGAACTGAAATCTCACAGATAAATTCTTATTGTGAATGAAAAAGAACAAAACAAAGATTTGGAAGACAGAAGGAAACTGGCCCATAAAACAGCATCATGCCTCAACAACTGAAATACTCTGGCTTTGTGAAATGTTGGAGGGTCAGATAGAATGGTCACGGAAGGTACGATTCCTGGAAGCAGCCAAAAGGGTTCAGCAACACACGATATTGGGAACATTCAATTGGTGACACCTTTCCCTTGGAAGGCAGCCGCCGTGGTCTAGCAGCTAAATGCTCAGCTGTGGATCGGAAGGTCATGATTTGGTTCCTGGCGAATGACCTTGGCTCCTAGGCCCACCCAGCCTTGAGCGGGTATGAAGTACAGTCCTGGGAAAGTAAAGATGGCCGGCGAGATGCCGACCACATCACCAGCCAAGTGCCGTTTGGTCTAAAAACTATAGGTCTAGCCCTATATACCCAATACACCTGAAAGGCATGGAAAAGGATCCTTTACTTCCTTACTTTTCCTTGGAACATCAAATTAGGGCGAGGGAGGGATCATGTTGCATGGACAATATAAGGTCTCTACAATACTGCCCAGGCTTTGTGCTGTGGAGAGGTGGAACTTTATCCCTGGTCTTAACTGGGATCACCATAGGCTGCGATTCCTATACATTAGACTACTCTGTGAGTAGTATCTTTCAAAACACTGGTTACAAAAACAGCCCTCTTCTCCCATAACTATACCGTAAACAATGATAAGGTCCATAACTCTTACCTCTTCTATAACAGTGCTACCAAGGTTCGCGCTGATACTTCCCCCTGCTTTGACCCTGCCTCCTGCTGGACGCCCTCTCTTTCCCTTTTTAGACTTCACATCCGCACTTTTCCGTTTGCGTGGGTTCCCCTTGTCCTTCGTAGCTGCAACTTTTGAAATTTTCCTCCGCCTTTTTGGCAGTGCAGCGGAAGAAATCTGGCACAATTTGTGTTTCACTTCTTCACTAGACTTGGAACTATCTACTGACACTTGCCTGTTTGAATGATTCAAATGTTCATCATTCTCACTCAGCTCTTCAACTTCCTGTTTCACATCCACCATTTGCACGGGGTTATCAGGAAATACACCTGACGTATTAAAATGAATCCTGATATTAGCATCCACAAGTTCATGGTTCAATTTATTCACGTCAGAAATCTTACCGGTATCACTGGTTGCTGTATCACAATTTTGTTTCTGACTCGACTCTGGGTTCAAGGTGTCTGTATCAGAACCTGACTCTGAAGAAGTATCCACACTATAAACAGAACCACCCTCCTCAGTGTCCTCGGAGTTGTGGCTAACATGTGAAGCACCTTCTCTAGAAGTATCCGGTGTAACTTCATCTCTGGGCACATCTGGGCATGCCTTGTCTTTAGAAGCTGTTTTTATAACTAAAGGTTTATTTTTCTGCTTCGGCTCAAGTTGAGAGTGCTTCCTTATTTCATTTACAATCTCAGCTATTTTTAACCACCGTGCCGCCAGAAGTATGTCCTTCACGATATTTGCTGGCGGTTGGAGAATGCCGGTATATAGAGCAGTCACGATTGATTCCATGACATCATGGCTGAACTTAACCTCTACTGTGTAGAAATTTAATGTCCCAATTTTATTCCTTGAAATCTGTCTGGAAATGAGAGATGCAATTCTGGAGCTAAACGACGATAAGACACAAGCGTGAACAAGCAAGGATGAGTTTGGAGTGTGTATAATCAGGTCACAATATTTTCCGTCATTCCGCTGAAAATAGAGGTTGTTGAGAAGCCTGTTCCCATGCTCCTCTAAGCGACAGATGAATGCTGCTTCCTTTGACTCTGTAGCCATCCTGAATACAAACATAAATTTTTTTTTAAATGAAGTCATAAATATAAGATCATATGTCATAAACTATCTGTCTCTATGCCAGACTTCTGTCAAAGAGGATACAATAAAAAGACTGTTTCCATACTATTAGGTATTTTTTTTAAACGATAAACATAAAGCATGTATCTGATATCGGTGGGTTAGGAAAGCACTGGCCACATTATCATTCCAGAGTTTTGCATTTCTATTTATTTTATCAAACTGAGCATTTCAAGGGTACAAAATGTTTAACAAATTAACAGAAAGTGTGTTAATCAACTGCTGAGGAGGAGATCAGAGCACCTATGGATCAGTCCCGAAGTCGGTCAATGGTGGATTTGATCTTCCCAGAACAGAGTGTTAGAATAATACGATGTTCTGTTTAACCAGTTGACTTCAGTCTGGGGTGGGGACTTTAGACCTCCGACATGTCAACCACTCTTAATTAAATACAAATATTACAAGGTTTGACAATTAGGTAAGGAGACTGATTTTATTACGGCCAAGACAAACGAGCCATCTATGAAGCAAAGCATGGAATCCAAAAAGGCAACCTTCGCTCAATGATCTGGCAACTTCGCATCGTCATGTGATAAGCAGACGACAAACAAGCTGCCAATTTTTTGACCTAGTTAGATGAGCACTGTTACAAAATCAGCATGGAGCAAAAAGCTAACATACAATTTTGTTTAAAACTCAGAAAGTGCCATTGAGACAGTTGAATTGATGCAACAAGTTTTTGGGCACAATTGTTTATCTGGTCCACTCATTCCAAAAGTCACAAAATCGGAACTGATATAAAAAGATTGTTGTTTCACTGTCAGGATGATGGCAGATAAATCTGGTGTTAATAGAAAAGAAGGCAAGAAAAAAGTTGCTTACAGGTTTGTACCGCATTCGTGGTCTGATGACCAAAACAGCGAGTTGAGTACCTATGAGATATCAGAACAGAAATGTTTGGCCCCAAAACAAGTTTGTGTTCTCAACCATCCACTCTATTCCTCAGATTTGTCTCCCTGTGATTATTTTCTATTCCCAAAATTAAAGTTACCATTGAAAGGACGCTTCTTTGACGATATTGATGACATCCAAAGGGCCGTAACATCGACTTCAAGGCAACAGAAGAACTACAGAAGTCATTATAGTGTTTGTTAGATCGTGCCACTTGCTGTATCAATGCACAAGGGGCTTACTTTGAATAAAATAGAGGTTATATCTTTAACTGCTAATTATTTTAATTTTTAGGGAATTAGTCTCATTACTAAATTGTCAGACTTTGTACAATGCATCTGTTTGTTCCATCGGTGATGATACCTGAAGGTGTGACACCCTGAGATTAAAACATCTCAGTCTGGATGGCAGACCAACAGTGAAAATCCCACATACCTCGGTTCTTTTCTTTTTTTTTCTTTCGAGAAGATCGAATTCAATGCATCAGGTTTTGTTTAATTTGGCTTGGTATCATCTGCAAAATAGCTACCCTCCTACCAAAAGTGTGGCGTAAAGCCAAACTTCGTAGCTCCAACGTTTCCGAAGATGTCTCTTGTGAACCAACCAATGGGTGCAGCTGTAAAACAAACCCATGACCTTCAGAGCGCTAGGTAAATGGCCATGGAGACCGCGTTCAAGCAGAACCTCCAAAAGAGTTGTTACAGTGGAAGCCCCTGTGAAGGCTATACTAAACCTATAGTACTTGTGGCAGTTTGCAAGTTGTTGTTGGTATCGATCCAGGGTCGTATGCGCTTTCACCTCTGGCACAATGCAATGTAGTGGAATTTGCACGTTTTCACTAGCTGTTCTTTTCCTGCGTACAAGGTGTTCCATTTGTCTAGTCTCAGAGGGAGTAGCACATTCTTCTAGTCTCGCTGAGTTTTGGGCACTCAACAGTTTCCTTAGGGTCTGGCACTCCACACTGTGCAGTGTGCAGGTTAAAGATATATATATAAATGCCCCAATTGTGTTCTGATATATACAATATAAATATATATATATATATAGTTATTTTATTCTTCTACCCTTCTAACTTCTAACTGTTACTTTATTTTTATTAATATTATTTTTATAATTATTTTGTTTCATTAAAATAATAAACAGAAACAAATGTAAGTTTAAAACTACCGGAACCCCGAACAGAGGACATATATATACTAAATTGTTGTGCACACCGTCTATCTTCAGCTTATAACCCAAGACAACTAGATAGCCGTGTAAAATACAACAAACGCAGCGGCGGTGTTTGCGTGTACCTGTGTGAATGTCTGAAACAACGCTTGTCCGATCAAACTCTTTCACTTGTCGTTAGCCGGACGCCATCATGGAACCAAGAACGGTAACATCGCTTCACCGGTTTGTAGTTACTGCCCCTGGCAATCTTCAACATTGTTCAGGAGAAACAAATTAAACATTAAAAAACTGAGGATAGCACAGTATCTCCACATCATTGTTAAGAAATATGAGTAAATATATGACAGCCAGGTACGAGAGCACACCAGACGCACCAGAAATCTCATCAAGAGCATAGAACTGGCACTATAAGCTGCCGTCGCGCCTTTGGGCGATGAGCTACTTTGTGTTAAGATTTGTGAGATCATCTAAACCAGTGATTCCTAAACTGTGCGCTGCGGCGCCCCAGGCAGCAGCGACGTTTTCACGGGGGCACCGCGAAATATCCGATCTTTTACAAACGAATAGTCATACTTTTACTTAGGTTAGGGTGCCGTGGAAAATTTGTAACTGAAAAAAGGCGCCGCCACTAAGAAATGTTTGGGAAATACTGATCTAAACAGAACAACGGAACAGAAATGGTCCTTACCCGTGTAAGACTGCAGGTGACACCTGGCCTGCAGATCCGTTACGTGTGCCCTAGAAATAACTTTTTAGAGGCTAAATAAAATATCTGCGATCTGCCACATTTGGTCTGCCGTCCCGACTGATCTTTCAGAATTGTATGGTAAACCTTCAGGTAGCCGCCCGGAGAGGACAAACTGGAGAAAAACCGTAATGAACGTGAACCACGGTGCAATGAGAAGGACTCGCAGGGGGAGGGAAGATAGAAACTGTGGGTTATCAGAGGCCGTTGCTTTCAAGAAATACTAAATATGACAAGAAAGCTCAACGGAGGGAATGGAAATGACGCACACAAACACATACGAACGTTTTACCAAAGTCTTTATTAACAGAGTACTAAATACAGCACAAACCATAACTAGAAAATTACACTGGTAAGACAACAGAGCTAATAAAAAAAAGGGCAGTATGAAACCAAGAAGTACGTAATAATGAAAACGCATGAATTTAAAGGCTTTAACGGGAAACGAGATAAGAAAGACGGCGTATGTGTAAAGATGGGAAAAAATATGAATAAGTAAATTAAATGAACAAGTAAATAAACCAATTGTATTAAATAAAGCTGTGTTGAGTTTTGATTCCTTCAGGACTAAGAACGCCAAAACTGTGGATGAAATGATTTTCTAATGAGCAGCGGCTGGTGTGATCACCAAAGCAGGATTTAATAGCAGTGACTGAGATATCGTTTTCGCATTGGTGGTCAGAACTGTTGAAACAGATGGAGAGAGGTCTGAGAGCCTTATTCCGAATGTCAGCAAGATGTTAATGGAAGCGATCAGCTAGCTTTCTGCGGGTTCCCCAGTATAGATTTTTTTAACATCTTTTGCAGATCATGGCATAAATTAGATTATGCGATTCACATGAAAATACTTCTCTGATGTGAAACAAACTCTTGAGGAAGCAGATCGAAGGGGTTTGGATTACAAATGGACATCTCTTACATCTTGTACGGGAGCATTTGGAAGTACCGAAAGGAATTGCTTTATGGATTGGAGGCAGTCTGCTTCTGACAAGTATGTTCATAAGACTGCGGTCTCGTCTGTAGACCCCTCTAGGGTTGTCTCTAAAGATCTTACCGTGTCAGGATCAGAGCCAAGAATATGAAGGTGACGATGGAAGATTGCAAATACAGCCAAATTATTAGGGTGATAAAATCAGTTTGAGTCTATCAGGGTGGGGTTTAGGTTTGGTGGGGAATGCCTCTATCTGAGTAATGGATTGTGCTTTTTTTAAAGCCTCAATGAGAATGTATTCAGAGTAAAGGTGGGCACGGAAAAAGACCAGAAACTCGCGTGCCTTACTCCATAAATCTGAGTTATTAGAGCATAATCTACGTAGCCCAAGCAGTTGAGAGAATGGTATAGAATGTTTGCAAGAGAATGGGTGAGAGGCTGTATAGAGAAGACAGCAATGAGAATCAGAAGGTTTATAATAGTCACAGGTGGCTAAGAAAGGAAAGTCGATGCTAACCTTGATGTCCAAGAAATTCTCGCAAGTGGTGGAAATCAGTGAGGTGTCATATTGTGTGTTCCCTGTGTGGATTCCAGGGCCCTATTATAGGGAAAACAAGAACAGACCCACTGCCTACCCAAAAGCATGTCGTAAGAGTCGACTAATTGGAAGTCGGAGTGCATCTGCCCGAGATGCAAGAAACCAGCAGTCGGCATATAAATGAGTCAGGTCTGTAAAACAGATTTACACGCAACACTCAGGTTCTGGAACAGGACTGCAGTCCAGAAGTGGATGAACAACCAGAACTTTCCGCCAGAGTTTAAGGCTGGTAAACGCGAAGAAGAAGAAGAAGATTATGTGTGTAATTATACATATGTTTATTTCTCCATCTTATTCCTAGAATGATTGCGAGGGGCCACACCGAAATAAACGGGACTGCCAGAGTAAAAACTTAACGTATCGTTACCCGGTTTGGTGACGCCAGCAAAGGTAGAGGACAGATATATAGACAATTATTTTAACACATCTCTTAGACACTTGGTTAGCGCGTGGTATATTCCCGTATCCGCAAGTGAAAGCCTAGATAATGAAATTTATTTATTTTGCATAATATACAACGTTATATGACAGGAAAACGCACTAAAAAATATTTCTTAGATAATTAAAAAAAAAAAAAAAATATC